TTCCCACGAAAAACTGTATTTTACACACTAAAATTACATTATTTATGTTTTAAGGGATTTGTTCATCTTATCCTTTATCCCTAAACACCTCTAGTAATACTTGGGACCCTATATTGCAACAAAAATGTGTTATACTTCTGTTTATAGAAGAAAAAAAATGTCTAAATATATACTGCAACTGTAAGGCACATGCAGTATCCTCCCATGAATCAGTTTTTCCCTTTCAAAGGTCACTTTTAGACTGAAGCTCTGACACAACTTCTGTAAGCCAGGAAATGTGAAGCTTAGTTTATCACTCTGTCTTTCCTTGTCCTTTTCTTTCTTGTCAGATTTATTTTCCATGCTGGGGTTGTTCAGGATGGAGCACAAGCATGGAAATTTGGGCTTCCTAGCTTTTGAACTGGCACAACCAGGATGTTGTGGACATGTCTGTGTTCCATGCATGAGAAATATTTGTGTTACTGAAGTGATATTAATAGTAGGTAAAATTCTAACCCATAGTCTTTAATAGGGCTAAATTATAAAACACAGCTTCTGATGGTGCAATTGGGTATTCACAAGAACAAACACTTACTTCTTTGGCTCTGACTTGCCTTTTCCCATGTGATAGGGTGGGTTGTAATTAAGATATGTCTAGATGAAAAATTCCCATGTTCGGTGTTGCAATGTAGCTGATCTCATTCAGTACTTTTTCCAACTATAGTACTTAAAGAACAAGTTAAGAGTTGCTGCATTTTCCAAGAGATGCAGAGTTCTTAGGGAGAGCTAATACCTTGTTTTGACAAGTTGAGAGATTGGGAAAAATTGGATGAGATTTAGACACCCAAGCCCTTGTCAGGATTGAGAGCTTTCAAATGGTTGTTATGACTTTTTGTGCATCCTTTCAAGGAATATTTAACATATATGAGCTGGTTTATTTGTTCAAATCTTAGACTAGCCAGTAGTCCTTGCCACACCCAAGTGAGGTTAGGTGGTTAAGGAATAGTCACAGGCATCTTACACACAGTGAAACTGAGACAGAGAGAGGAGGTCACTTTTTGGAGGCCATATAGGAAGTTGGTGTTAGAGATCAGACTAGTCATGGTTTCTGGTCCTGTGCATAATCTTTCTAAACTCCTGTCTTTATCCCTGTCTCAGGAATGAGTCATTTTCTCTGCAGAAGCAGCACAAATTGGTAGCTATTCTTGAGCTGTCTTTTTATGACCTCAGTGACTTCTCCCTTGGAATTTTGATTATGGTCTGTCTTAGGTGATGTTTTTATCACCAACAAGAGAGAAAGTCAAACACTAAGGCTGCTGCATGAGAATGTATGTTTTACTTCCTCTCCTGGAATTATGGTGGGGTAAGAAGCTTGCTTCTTTAGCTGAAGAACTGATCCCTTTGATTAAGAAATATTGTATCTGTCGATACCTTTTAGAAGAGGATGTTTAATATATTTCTTTGTTGTTTCTATAGCCATGGTCCTCTTTGCTCAGGAACTGGAATAGCCTAGCAGTGACTCATCCTGGTTATATGGCATTCCTAACATATGATGAGGTGAAAGCCCGGCTTCAGAAATTCATTCACAAACCTGGCAGGTTAGTGCTCGGCAGCAGTGGCTTTTTTGATCGTTCCTGCAAACATCGCTGATTACAGCACTGACTGAGTAGACTGGTTTCACTTTGTCTTTATCCTCCTTCCTCAGAAATTTAAATTGTGAAAAACCCTAGCTTGCCCTGTAGTTGGAGACTATCCTCCATGTGGTGACTTACCTCCTGCCCACCCCCACAGTTGTCACAACAGCTTTGTCAGGCATGAATGGAACAGAGGCAGACGCTGCCAGAGTAAGCCTAAATGGTTGGCTCTTTGAGACCATGAATAAGGGAGTGTATCTCTAGGTCCCATAATTCTCTGGTGTATATGCATAAAACCCGAAGAGCTGAGGGGATGGCAGGGTGTACATTTGAAGCCAACTTCAGACAGACAAAGCACCTGACCAGTATTTGCTCCAGCAGAAAGCAGCATGGTAGTCAGAGTAGGCTGTGAGGTAATGCCGCAGGCTGGGTGGACATCAGAGGCTGTTGGTGGGCAACACATGCTTCTGGGGTGGCTGTGGACCTGAGCAGTTTTGGGCTACCTAATATCCTGGGTAGAACTCGGCCCAGTGCAACAGGGCTAGCAGGTTTCTCTTTATGCAGCAAGGGCCCAGCATTCATTTCTGGAGGTTGTTAATATGCAGTTAGTTCTGTGCTGGTTTTAAAAATGGAAACCCTGTGTAGTCTGTTTGTTGGTTTTGTTGTTCGTTGGGGTTTTTTAAAGTTAATTTGAAACAAATGATTTTTAAGGATGCTAACTCTGGATTCTGGGTTTAATTTCACCTGGAGGTCAGTGCTTGGATGTTTTTCTCACATTGTATCAGGTTGCAAGTTTCTCCTTTGATCTGCCTGGGGGTAAATTGATGAAAGCCAGTATAAATCATCAAGTTATTCCTACTAGTTTTTATTTGCTGTCTTGAGATAGCCAAACAAAGGCTGCCTACTTGATATTTAATCTTTTCTGTCTGTTCCAGTCCAAACTGAAGTTTCTTCTTCTTTCTGTGTTTTTAGTTATATTTTCCGATTGAGTTGTACCCGGCTCGGTCAGTGGGCCATTGGCTACGTCACTGCAGATGGGAACATTCTTCAGACAATCCCACACAACAAACCTCTTTTTCAAGCACTGATTGATGGCTTCAGGGAAGGCTTGTAAGTAACTTTATCAAAATTCATTTTTTTTGCCCTTTTGCCCTTTTTCACTGTTTGTTTTATAAATCTGAATCCTGTGGTGAGGTCTTAAAGTCAGTTGAGTGGTAAAATGGACCCTCTGGGTTCATCACCCATGATCTACTTCACAGGAGAGGCAGCATGTTGCAGAGGTCAAGCAATCACTATTGACATCACCGAGTTCCTTTTGGACATCTCTCAGCTCTTCCTTTTTATTTAGCCCTTGATTCAGCAAAACAGTTCAGTCATGTGAATAAGCCCAGTTGGTATCAGTGGAATAATTCATATGCTTAACTGTTTTGGCACATGAGACTACTCAAGACAGCTGTCTTTCGACTGGAGAGCTGTACTGTCCTCTGCAATAGCAGACAATAAGCGTGTGTCAGTGTTTCCCTTGTTACAGATTCTTTTCCAGTTGAGTCCTTAATTTGAGACACTGCAACTGGTATTATGGCATCAGTTATCTTACTCTGGATATTACAGCTTTGGTATAGGATGATTTAAGAAGCGTAGCCTGGAACCATAACATCCTGTTGAAAATAAAACTTACTGCTAGGACGGAAAACAACCTTCTTGTTATTTTTAAGAATGACATGTTTCAGTTTTGTCTGAGAGTAAAATTCTTCCAAAACTTCTTTTGAATTCAGAATACCTTGAATTCCCACCCCTCGCTTCTCACCCTCATTCTTTCTTTCCTCTACCATCCCAAAAGAAACCTTACATGTTTGTTCACGTGTGTTTGTGTGTAAGTATGCATGTGTGTATATACACATAGAGAGAGAGAGATCTTTTTTTTCCCCCAACTTCTTACAGTTACTTATTTCCTGATGGCCGGAATCAGAATCCTGACTTGACTGGCTTGTGTGAGCCCACACCTCAGGACCACATTAAAGTTACACAGGTGAGCAAAGTATTCTGTCCCATCAAACTTGCTAGCTTTCTTTATAATTTCTAGCCTCCTTAGCTGTTTATACCATTCTGTCACATTTGGGATCCACAAGACTTGTTTTTAAGACTGATGTATTGTATTTTACATAAAATTATAGTGAAATCTTTGCGGACTTCTGTTCTCCTTTGCGCTGTGTTCTTGTGTTTGGAGGTTTGGGGTTTTTTTTCCTACAAGTCTTGTGTTGAGTTTCTTGTAGCTGTGACTAATCATGCTTGTTATTTTACAGTATCAACCATGTCTGTCTGTCTTTCCCCAAGGAACAATATGAATTGTATTGCGAGATGGGCTCCACGTTTCAACTGTGTAAAATATGTGCTGAAAATGACAAGGATGTGAAGATTGAACCATGTGGCCATCTGATGTGCACGTCCTGTCTCACTGCGTGGCAGGTGGGGCATTGGCTCTTGTTAATCTCTCTGAGTGAATCTAGTTGCTCTTTTATAGAAGAGGTGTATTCTCTTCTCAAAACTGTTCAGTTTCCTTCAGGTATGGAGATAAGATAACGTAACTGAGGACTTGAGCTCATAGTTCAGTAATATCAGTGCATCAGTGTCAGCTTCACCAGCACAGGGAGAGGCTGGTTAGATGCCTGATCTCTTAATCTACGAAGTGCAAGGACTTGCTAAAAAGCGGTTTTTCTACTTCAGAGAGAAAATACTCCATATTTGTAGCACAGTTTGCCTCTGTCTTCCTCTCAGTTGAAAAGTACCTGCCAAAATTAAGATTTAAACCTCTGTATATTAACTATGTGTTTCATTGCTGCATCATAGCAGCTGTTGCAACAAATCTCTTCTATTCCCTGAAGGAATCAGAAGGCCAGGGTTGTCCTTTTTGCCGCTGTGAAATCAAAGGCACGGAGCCAATTGTAGTAGATCCATTCGACCCCAGAGGAGGAGGAGGATTATCACGGCAAGGGGCAGAAGGAACTCCCTCACCCAATTACGACGAAGATGATGACGACAGAGCTGATGATTCCCTCTTCATGATGAAAGAGCTTGCTGGTACCAAAGTAAGGTCACCGGAGTGTGTGCTAGTAGATGTGGCAGTATGTACAAAGACTGCATGTTCTCTGTCAGTTTTCTGTGGTCTTAGTGATTTGTGCATGTGAGGATTGTCACACCTTATTGCAGAAAAGATTTTAACTCGGTATGGAGAACTGGGCCACCAGGATGATCCGAGGGCTGGAGCACCTCTCCTATGAAGACAGGCTGAAAGAGTTGGGGCTGTTCAGCCTGGAGAAGAGAAGGCTCTGGGGAGATCTTATAGCGGCCTCCCAGTACCTGAAGGGGCTACAAGAAAGCTGGGGAGGGACTTTTCATAAGGGCAATTAATGACAAAACAAGGGGAAATGGGTTTAAGCTGAAAGAGGGGAGGTTTAGATGAGATATTAGGAAGAAGTTTTTCAGCGTGAGGGTGGTCAGACACTGGAACAGGTTGCCCAAGGAAGTTGTGGATGCCCCCTCCCTGGAAGTGTTTAAGGCCAGGTTGGATGAGGCTTTGAGCAACCTGGTCTAGTGGAAGGTGTCCCTGCTGATGGCAGGGGGGTGGGACTGGATGATCTTTAAGGTCCCTTCCAATCCAAACCATTCTATGATTCTATGAACAGGGATTTAGGTTCAGTTTTGTCAGTTCAGTTCACACTGTCAGTTCTATTAAACAATGGTGATCACACTTTGAAATCTTTGCTTTTTCTATAAATTGTCTTGAAGAACCCTTAGAAGAGGTAAAAAAGGCTGACTTGACCTATTGGAATGTAAGATCTAGGTTTATAGCATTTCTCTGCATGCTTAGCAATGCTGCTTTTGATTTATTAGCCATAGTTCACCCATATCAGCAAAACTTCATCCATTTTCCCCAGTGATGAATACAGCTAACCAGATACAGTCTTCCCAAGGTCCTGATGACTAACTGGGTAGAGGGCAGGCTATTTTGCTGAGGAAGTCAATTTGACTGGTGTCTGATAAATTTGTGTAATAAAGATATGGTAACTCTCTGCCATTAGTGCTACTTCCTTCCAGGAGGAGCGTACAAGATAGGCATTCTTTAAAGATCCCAGCATGTTTTTTTCTAAAAGCTCATTGCTGCTGTCACCCATCTGCACGTCGCGTTGTTTAACTGCATAGGGAAGTGGGTTTGAATTTGGCTAATTCATAATAGTTCAGAAAAGTCACTAAAATAAGCTGCCTTTCCTGTTCAGAAAGCATCCTCTACACTTGTTTAGCTATGGTCGTATTTCTCTTTAGCTTCCACCCTGTGAAATAGGGTTCTAAACAGTAAACCATATCCCTGGAGGTAGTTTTTGTATACATAGCTTGGGGGGAAGCAAAGCAATTTCCTCAGTGTGACGTCCTGTCGTGCTTTGCAGTAGGCTAAGTACAGCACTAAAGTACTACTTTGCAGTACTCTCTGTTTGTTGGCACTAGTAAGTTCAAACCTGTGTAAAGCTTTTCAGAGTTAGAAAGCACCACCTTTGCTTGTGTAAGAAACTTTATGCAAAAAAAGGAGCAGGCACTCTTCTGATTTGTGAGGTGGAAAAACAGCTTTCCAGGGACAAAAATGGAGGTTTTAGTGCATGCTAGTGACTGCTGCAACACTAGTGACTGCTGTGACAGCCGTGACGCTGTAGTCAAGGTAGTTTGGGTGATGCCTGCAGTGGTAAGTGGGTTTTGCAGCAGATCGTGCCCTCTTGTGTCAGGAAGCAAAAAGACTCTTGTTCCTGCTCAGGGCCCAGGAAAGCAGGTCTGTTAATCCAGCAGAACAGATTGTCTTTTATTGTGCCATTGTTATTGTGCATTTTCAGTTATGTGAGCCTGTTGGTGATCTTGCTGCAAGTCAAATGCTGTTGTGCTGTGAAACTGCCTTCATTGACTGGTGTATAGTTGTTATTAGTACAGTCGTTCGGTACCGATAGCAGGATTGAAGCCAGTACAAGTCACAGAGCTCGAAAGCCTCTCTAAAGAAAAGGAGTGCTGCTGGATTTTTTCATTTGTTGATTTTTTCCCCATTTTCTTTTTCAGGTTGAGCGTCCTCCTTCTCCGTTCTCAGTGGCTCCACAGGCCACCCTTCCTCCTGTGCCGCCACGACTGGATCTTTTGCAGCAGCGAGTGTCCAGTCCACCTGGGGCTTCCAGTCCTGGGACCACTTCAAAGGTCAAACACACTGCTTTCTCTTTCAGCTATGATTTTGGTGGGGCAGGCAGGAAGAAAAGCATTCTGCTGAACTTTGAATGTTCCCTGTGACATCCCCCAGTATTTTCACACAAGTCTTTTTCTTCTTCCTTTTCTGTAGCCCTGTTAGGTCACTTTTCATCCATTCCCCACAAGAGCCCAGTCTGTCCTGAAAGCAAATGCTTCCTTCTGGAATCCATGCTAGGAGAGTCCCTTTTTGCTGTTTAAAGGACCTGTCTTGTCTTCACATTTGTCCATGCAGTTGCTAGAAGGGAGCTGGTCCTAAGCTGAAGTACTTGCTCACTTAAGGTGACAGGTGTCCTCCTGTTAACCACCAAGTTAGTGTTGTTACCACTGTCCTCACTGTTTTTCAGCCTCAGCCACTGCTGCCTGTGCCCTATGGAGCCACATTTATGGGCTTCTGCTTTGTTCTAGCTAGCAGACTAGATGTGGGAAGATGTCATATTCCTGTCCCAACTTTTCTTCGCAAATTTTTCTATCAAGCATTTTTTCAGCTATAAAACTAGAGAATGAATGAAATGTGTGTGACTGGGAGAGATTAACTGGTTTTCTCATTGGCTAGCAGAAGGCAGTAGTGTGATCTTGGTGGCATTTGGTCATTGGCTGTTGACGTAGGCTGCAGTTCTTCAGCTGGTTTAGATGAAGTAATGAAATTATGCTTGACAGTTCAGGCAGAAGAAAATATCCATTTCTATTAATATTCATTGCTGACTGCTGAATGTTAACTTCTATAATCCACAACTGAATCACTTTTTTAAATGATGGGTATCCTCTGTTAGGAATCCAGTCTAAAGCTGCTATAAGCTGCTTTTTTTTTTTCTTCAAGAAAAAGAATCTGGTGTGTTTAGTGCCTGGCTGTAGCTGCACGTAGTTACTGCATTACCTCTTCCAGCCTGTCGAGAAGGTGTCTCTGGAGGGTTAACTTGTGGAGATGTGTAGAATTATCTCCACATCCTTAGAGATAATTTCTTGTAAAAATCAATAAACAAACAAACAAAAAAATCACCCTTCTGCTACCTGCCTCCCTTCTTTTTTATGTTTTGTGGGTAGATGGCCTTTGTTAAGCAATATTTTACATTTTTCTGCCTTCCAGGCTGCACCTGGTACTCTTCACAAGGATAAACCTCTGCCAATCCCACCCACGCTCAGAGATCTCCCGCCGCCACCGCCTCCAGACAGGCCACATTCCATTGGGACTGAAGGTCGACCTCAGAGACGTCCCCTACCCTGCACACCAGGAGACTGTCCTTCGAGAGACAAACCACCCCCTGTACCCTCCAACCGTCAAGCAGATCTGTGGCCAGCCAGGCCAATTCCAAAAGCCCCATCTGTAGCTCTCAGCCCTGGTGACCCTTGGGCTGGGAGAGAACTGTCAAATAGGCATTCACTTCCCTTTTCCTTGCCCTCTCAGATGGACTCCAGGCCTGACAGCCATCGACTTGGGAGCACACTTAGCCTGGACAACCCAGTGGTGAGTAGACCTATTGAAGGTGAAGGTAATCTGTGAGGAATTAAGTCTTCCAAGGTGCCCTCTTCTCATAGTTTACATCTGAATAGGGTGATCTTGTGCCAGGGGAGAGTTGGAAGGACTTCTTAGGGAAGTGCTTTCGTGCCTCTTGGGACAAAAGCTGAAATCCCAATTTGAGCAGTCATGAACCACGATTTCACGATCATTGTTCACCTTTCATTTTTGAAAAACTGAATGTTTTATCCTGGTATGCTGAAAAAGTGTAGTTTGCTCTTCTCAGTTTTCAGACCTGAAAAACCTACACACGGTAACTATGATTAGTTTAACACAGTAAAATCTGAGTTAAATTTGGATCTGTTACTATTACCAATGTCACAATGTGTAACTTAGTAGTCCAACATATTGTCTAAAGTAAATCCCAGGCAGTTTTGCTCTCTTTAATTAAATTCCCCTAATTTTTCCGTCTAAAACCTCCAGCTTTCTAAAATTGAAAGCAAATACATTTTTAGCCAGATTGTCTAAGAAAATGACGCTTGCACAGTTGTTGTTCTGTCTCTGTACACATGTGCTTGTCTACATCCTTTTCCTCTTGTCTCCCATTTGGCCTTTTGGCCTACTTCAGCTGAATTTGTCAAAGACAAGAGAGTCTCACAAGATAGGAAGTTCTTGCTGGTTTTGTGTAAACAAGCAATTGGCTACAGGAGAAAAACCTTGCTTGTGCCCTCACTGTGGGAAAACTATCACAGAACTACTGTGTTTCTAAGGTGTCAGGAAATGCTTTGGAATAAAAAATAGAGGATGTGTTGAATGACTGGCTGACAGCTTTGCAACTACACTGGTATATGTGGTGTTTCTCATTCCTGGTTTGGAATTTTTCCTTTCAGAGCTTGAACAGTGGTCCACCAACAACCTCAGAGTGTGAGCACCCCAAAATTAAGCCCTCCTCATCTGCCAATGCGATCTACTCCTTAGCTGCCAGGTCTGTTGTTTTCTAGCAAAAGTGCTCTTTTATAACATACAGAATGGTAATCATAAGGCTCTCTCCGTGCTGGTGCCTGGGACAGAATTTGACACAACTCTGTCAGCCTTAGTTTCAATCTCTGACAGATCCAAAATACACGATCTAGAGAACGTAGATGAAATCAGCATCCCAAAGGTCTGTGGATAGTGGTGGTAGTTACCCTTGGCTGTGGCAATAGGAAACAAGCTACAGTTGCCATTAGCTCTTTTATGAATTCACTTCTAAGTTGGTCTTTAGGTGAAGTAGGTGATGTATAATGTGTATGATATTGTCAACTTCCTTTTGCGTAATGACCTTGTGTCAGTGAGACCTCGCAGCGGGGCGGCTGAGAATCCTGAAAGCCAGGTTATTTCTTTAAACAGAATCACTGTAAGATGACTGCTTCTTACTTCCATTGTGGATTTTAAAGGCCATTTTTATATTAATTAGATTTGGCATAAATGTTTTTCTGATGTTTATATCTTGTTTCTTCTGCCTCCAGACCACTGCCTGTACCAAAACTGCCTCCTGGGGAACAGTCTGAAAGCGATGAAGACACTGAATACATGTCACCATCCTCTCTGCCTGTGGTGCCTCCAGGTTCTGCTGTACAAAAACCAGAGATCAAAATGCCTTTGGAAATGACTCAAAGTTTACGGTAAGTGTCTGTTTGTATGTACTGTGCTTCCTCCTCACAGCTGTGGGAAAGCCTGTTTGTTTACTAGGGTGAAGATTTTGCTTGCTCAGTTTGTGAATTTCCCCAGTGATATTCACCAGATCTAGACTAATATAGCTAACTGTAAATGAAATGTGACTACTGCTCTTGCAGAATCCATAGACAGTATTAAAGGAGTCAGACAACCACTCCCCCTTTTTTCTACTGGTAACCTTTTGAGAGCAGCAGCAGCTGAAATTCAAAATTCTGTTAAAAGGTTATGTTCTGGTGGTATCAATTAAACTCTTTTAAGCTGTTGTGCTGTATTGCAATAAACATTGCTAGAACATTTTCTGGAACAAATATTCCTTCACAGAACAGTGGTGATTTCAATTTGAAGCAGGGATCTGTGCAGAATCTCAGTCACAGAGACTAGGTGGTGGGTGATTGACCACTGTGACTTATCTGAAGAGAAATATGTGTTCTCTCCTTCAGAGCTCTAGACTGCGACCAGCAGACGGATGGCTGTACCTATGAAGCAATGTACAACATTCATTCCCAAGCAGCATCCTCTGCTTTCGAGACTGTCAACACTTCTGGTGAGTGGGTGTGCTAAAAATAACAAGTGAGAAATTGGGGTACAATGAATTAGTCCCAGTCGGAACAGCATTTTAGGCTAAATTAAATGTTACTTGCTTTCGCTGTTTAAATATCTAGGATGTATGTGGAAATGTGTGGGTCTGGGTACTGCAGACTGCATGTGGGAATGTTGTTGAGAAGCATAGTTGGAATGCACTGTAAAAATACTCAACAGTTGTTAAAAAACTTACTGTTTTGAAGTTTTGGTTTTGTTTGGTTTTGGGTTTTTTTTTTTTCTGGGCAGCAGTTGTCAGCCCACAGGCTTTGAGCAACCTGGTCTGGTGGAAGGTGTCCCTGCTGATGGCAGGGGGATTGGAACTAGATGATCTTTAAGGTCCCTTCCAATCCAAACCATTCTATGATTCTATGATAAGTATTTCTAGTCTAATACTACCTTCTGGAAAGAGCTTCCATTGAATGAGGGGGTTTGTCAGCAAAACCTTAGTTCTGTGTACTGTCAGTGTTTGTGGACTGCAGGGGGAACAGAGTCTGGCTTGAGAGACAGAGGTTCTGTTCAGTCCCAGAGGTTCAGAATGTGCCTCTTGCTCTAGATGAAGGGGATCTGGCAGCAGCCACTGCCAGCAACGGCCCTGAAGAGTCAGAAAATGAAGAAGATGGCTATGATATCCCCAAGCCACCGCTCCCAGTTGCTATTGCTCGCCGCACACTGTCTGATATCTCCAATGCCACACCCGCCTTCAGCCGAATGTCTTTGGAAAATGACCCTGTAACAGGTTAGAGAACACTCACACTCTTTATGTTGTAGTTGGTGCTGGTGGCCTGCTATGCATGTTTGAAACTTCTGTCGCCCACTCAAGGTTTTGTACGTAAGCTATAAAATCAGGTTTATGAGGCAGAATCACCCTGGTTCTTTGGGTGTTCAGTTTGAGGTACCAGTTGGAATGCACTGCCTTGGTCATTTAGTCACCGAGCTAGCAAATCACATTTAAATCACAGTTAGGAAAACCTTTTCTCAGCTTAAAGGATATGTCTTAAGCCAATGTTTTCTACAGAGCATGGCACACCTTTTGTACCAGGGCATGAAACAGAGCTTCAGAACATTACTGCTTATTGCTGTTCCAAGTAAAAGATGACATATGGTTGGCCTTGCACAGCTTCTCTGGCTGTCTCGGCTGTGCTTGTTGCCTGCAGATGGCACAAGTGTACTGTTTGCTGTCAGTTCCTCTGAGCAGGGACCTAGTGGCTCAGCAAGGTCAGCTTTTTGTCCCTGCGGAGTAGAGGACAGCTTGTCCTTCTGGTTGCACAGCACATTCTCCAAGGGAAAAACTAAAGCCTCGTCTTTCCAAGAGCCTTTCTGAATAATGCTGGACTTACTCTCTACAACTGCCCAGCAGTTCTAAAGGAAGCTCTGAAACTCTTCCTGTTGGGGAGCTTTCAGCATGTCTGAACATCCTGGCAATTTGCCAAGTCAGAGGAGTGAGATTCTTGTTCCTCCTGGAGGCAGACAGGAGGCAGAGCCTCCTGTACCCAGGACTACTTGCCTCTGTGAGTCTTCTGTTCATCTGCTTCATCACTTCCCCTTCCCTAAGCTTGCCCTTCAGCACAGAAACGAGTTTACTAGTGCAGAGAAGTTTATTAGCTTTTGCCACTGCTCTGTAAGTCTGTCACTGTGTCTGTAGAATGTGGCTGACAGGGATAAAAAGGGGCAGAGAGAGCTCACATCCTCATCCAGATGAAGTACTGAGCTTAATCATTGCCACTTCTTTGTTTCTACAGCTCTGAAATAACAATACTATTGTCCCACTTCATAGTGTTAAGAGATCTACTCATGAAAAACGCTGTGGAAATGCTGATTGTTTCTGCTCTGGGAAGCACATGCAGTTTTCTGAAGCACTGGGTATCGGCTACTGCTGAAACCTGGTATTAAGCAAGCCTGACTAGTATGGGATGCCTTTTGGCAGATGTATGTTCTGATGTGTTGTGCCCTACAGTTGAGTTACTTAATCATTTACCAAAAAATCTGTGCTAGTAGTTGCCCTTTCAAATTGACCCATGGTCTCTGAAATTTGATCCAGTTCAAGCTGAAACAGCTATTTTCAAAAAGCAATTGGGGGGAAGAGAAGTGGGTAGTCCTTTTTCTTAAATGTACAAAAAGCTTTTTATGTGTCAGAAGCTTGTACTTTGAAGATTAGGGAGCTGGACTGCATTGTGGTTGGTGAGAAAGCTTCAATGAATTTGTTTCTTGAAGAACCTTCTCTATCTTAGTGCTTCAGAAAGTTTTTCAGAAAGGCTCCACAACGACTGCTTCTTTTCTAACCAGGGCTGCAGTGCCCACTCTTAAAAAGCATCTTGTGGCCTCTTGGCTATTCTTTTTTTCTTCCCAGGAGCAGTGCATGATGTGGCTACTGGCAAGTAACACATGTGAATGACTGGGAGGAGAGGCAGAACAGGCTTAGCTTACTGATCTGCCATAGCTGCCAGCCATTAGGTAGGGTGAGCTTCAGCAAGAGCTCTTGTAGATGACCCCGACCTGCTGATGGTCTGGCAGAGGGAGGAGGAGCAGACCCTTCAGAGAATGTAATTGAGTGGCTGGAGCAATGGTGATGGATGAGTTGACACTGGTAGATCTGTTTTTGTGAGTACACCCCCTTGGCACACTGCAGTGCAGTCAGCAGGTCTGTGAGGAGAGCTCAGCATGTGGACAGTTCATCTGGGGGTTGCTGTCTGCTTCTGGAAGGAAATGGGACGTTTGGTAAAGTTATGTATTCTCTGTGGCATTTTTTCCCAGCAGACCTCTGCTTCTTATTCTGAGGCTGATATCTGAGCCCTGCTCACATGCACGCATACATCCCTGCTCAATTTTTTTCTGTTTACATGGTCTTATCTTAATAAAAGAGCCTGATGTGGCCTCCTAATTAAAAAAATCTCCATAGCCATTTTTGCACTTCAGAGGGGAAGCTGAACTAATGGGTGCTGTTGTGTGAGAGGACAGGCTGGTTGGAGAAAGTGGCCTAGCTTTTGGTGGCATGTGCTTGAAGTGCCATTTATCAGTCTAGTGTCATTCCTGCTTTGTGCCAAGCAAGAATCACATGTCCTTTTTTGAAGTGATGCGTTTGTTTCTCCTTCCAGGTTTCTCAGATGGCTCTCAAGTTCCAGAAAGGCCACCGAAGCCGCTACCACGGAGAATAAATTCTGAGCGGAAAGCGGGGAGCTGCCAAACAGGAGGAGCCAGCAGTGGGACCAGTGTGTCATTGCAGCTCTCCAGTGAGATTGAGAATCTAATGAGCCAAGGCTACTCATATCAGGACATTCAGAAGGCACTGGTCATTGCACATAACAATATTGAAATGGCCAAGAATATTCTCCGGGAGTTTGTTTCCATTTCCTCCCCCGCGCACGTGGCCACATAGCACATTACCTCCACGCCTGCAGCTTCTGTGGACCAACTGCCTGGGCAGCTGTAGCCCAGCTACACACCAAAGGGGAAGGGGGTTCCTTTAGAGACTTCGTGCTGAGGTCAGTCCTCCCTCTTAAAGAGAATCAGTTATCAGGTTTTTGTGGTTCCAGATTTCAAAGCAGTGGAATGAAATGGAGCAGAATAGTGTTTTATACAGTGTATGTCTTGGAGTCCTTTACCCCTACCTCTTGTTTGAGAGAACAGATTTATTTCCAGGGTGTTGGTAGAGACAGGTATCACAACAAGGGATCCCCGAGCTGATGCCCTGGAGGCTGGGGGGGAGTGTTTTGTGCTGTGAATTCTTAAGTGAATGCTCTGAGAAACAAAGTCTCGAGGTCTGTGGTATGTCCTGTGGTTCATGGTACTAGGTTTGGATCTGTTCGCTGCTGTGTGTCTGGCTCAGGCTTTTTGGAGCAGCTGGGAGGTCACTTTCTGCTGGGAATAAATAGGAGACCTTGGAAGAATCTTTGGATTGCTTCCTGTTTGCCATGGCGTTTCCCTCTTGCCTGCAATAACAGCATTTATTGCTTACGATTCGAGTCCTCCCGTTTTGCCTGGAGATTGTGTGACTAGTTTCTGTCAGGTATTTTGATCTTGACAGTGCTGGGAGTTGGATTTCTCTCATCGTGTGTCCTCTTGCCAGCAGCACTGGCAGCACCAGATTCCAGGCAGCTAGATGTGATGAAAGTTTTACGTGTTTTTGAGGGGTGGGAGAGGGGTGGGAGGAATTTGAGTGAGTTGCTGCTTCTCCTTTTTTAGCCTTGAGCATTTTCTGCTTCGATGCTCAAACTTGTTTGTGGCCCTGCTGGGCTTGAGCAGCCATCACTGGACACTCCCATGTGCTCTTTCTCTAGGAATGTTGCACCCAGTAAATATGATGTTTTATTTATCTTAATTGCATGGTGGCTGTCGCAGACTAGTGGCCTTCACGCACATTCCATCATCTCCTTCAGAGAGCTTTTGTGGGAGCCAGCTGTCTTTGTGCCAGGCTGTTTTGTGGAATTGGTAGATGCAGCTGATGTATTTGTTGGTATCTTACCTGCTTTGCAGTAAAAGAAATGCAGCAATTCTCTGCATGGCTGTCAAAACAACACGAGGGCTCTTCTTTCCATTTCCATTACTCTAGGGTCTTGCCAGAGCTTGTATTAAAGCAGATCTGGGAAACTTCTGTGTTTGTAAAACGATCACTTGGCTTTAAAAGTCAGTACTCAGCTGTTACTTTGAAAAAAACCTGACTTGCATACTCAGCTACTTAAACTCTGTTCATATATGCTTGATGAGCAAGGAGTGTGTGATTCCTTTTGAGAGGATTTAAATCAAGTAGGGATACACAGATCACAGCCTGACAGACGAACAAGTGCTCTGTGTACATTAAGAGGCTATTAGCC